AGGTCTTATTAGCTATGTGGGGCATGTGCCATGGCTGCTTTCAGTGTACAAGCTCTTGTCGCTTGTAGGAGGAAGACAGATTTCCATACCTTGTCACAGGGGTGAGCAACCTCATGTTATCCCTTAAGGAGGCACCATAGCTGGCAGCTTCTGCGAGAGCACATGCAAGAGGCAATTCCCTTTGCTCTTGAACCTCTGCATCTCACTTCTGTGCTCCACAACCACGTGAGAGGTCCTGGTCTCAACATCCTGCCCAGATCTCAGGCAGCCCCTCCAGGAGTGCAGCTACTGGGACCAGCAAGATCCTGCTGGGTGTAATGGGGTCACACAGTGGAGTGTTTCTTCTGTTGGTGGAAAAAGATCACATTTGGACATGCCAATCCCAGGCATCTGCAAGCCAACTCTAATCCTGAGTTCATGCTGAGAATGACATCACAAGTCCATCACTAAGCTGAGTGTGATTGGTTAAACACAAGGTTCAGTATTTTGGCCTTAGATAAAATCTCTTGATCTTACCGAAGCACTGTATTCATCTCTGTCAGGTACTTCACCCCACCACGTGCTTGACAGGAATTCCTGTGTTTGGGTCTCTCAGTGCTTCTCAAGGCTTTTGAGTGAAAAAGTCTCAGAGAAGGCTGTGTAAATCTGACGATATTCATGTTTTTTCTTCCAGTAAGCCGAGGTTTTTATGAGCTTTAGTTCAATTTCCCATTCATAAGACGCAGTTAGTATTTTATAGTGCTGACACAAATTGACTCTATGCAACAGTTCAGGCAGTCTGCAAATGGATTGGAAAAGCTCCCTCTCTACACAGTCACAACCTAGACTATGCTGTTGCTAGAAGAGCCATTTCTTTTCCTGGGTGAGGGAAAAAAAAGGCTTTCCTAGCATATGGCGCTGCTGAGTACTGTGCATCTCCCAGAGGAACATGTTTTTCACAGAGCTGGTTCTAGCATGATTACTTCTGCCAATGTCACACACGTAGACCTGGCGACACAAGCTGTACTTGCAGAAGACATCTTTCTGCAATGCTTGATGTTCCACTAGGACCACACAAAAGCTGACACTGGAAACACTCGTCATAGAGGTGGATGCTTGCTTTGATTTCAGTCTGGGGCTGTACACCCTGCTGAAGGATCACAGAGACAGAGGGAGCTCTGAAGAGGAATGAAGCCAACCCTAGGTGGGAAGAGGAGTCACACTGTCCTGCCCTGCACCAGCACCCTCTGTGGATCAGCACCAATTCTAGGAAGGTTACCTATGCTGAGAGCGTGAACCTGCAGAGCCAGAACTGAACAGCAGGGAGCTTCCGGACAGCTCATTTTCCTAACTCACAGATAGTGCTAGGGGCTTTGGGAACAACCTATCTTCATAAATCCTATCACAAAACAAGTCAGAGCAACCAAAAGGCAATGAGAAACAATGCACTTGTATACCAGTATCCACAGAACCAGGCACAGAAGCCCTTCCAAGCAGGAGGAGCTTCTTGCAATGTTTTTATTTAGCATGTACAAACGAGGAGACCCACGATGGCTGGTCACTACAGTGTTAAAACTAAGAATAAAGCACACATGGTGTGTTTTTCCATGCCGTAAAAGTGCTCTGCTGGAGTTTATTTCCATTTGATAAGAAACCAAGAAAATGTTGCACCACAAAGCTTCTCTGCCTTAATTAATCCAGAAAAAATACTACAAAGGCAAAACCAGGAGCAATCTTCTTTGCATACTGAAATAATTAGACCTTGTAGCAAAAGGGAAAATGAGGAAAGTGCCTTCCTGGAAAATATTATGCTTCATAATATTTAGAACCCCATAAAAACCCAAAACCAATGTTTTTTGTAAAAGGACTAATTATGCTGTCTTCTTTTGCAGGCAAAATTGTTAGGAAACCTTACAGAACAGCCTAATGCCCCTAAGAAAATCAAAGACATTATGGGGTTAGTGGTATCATGTAATCATCTAGGCCTCTTTTAGAAATAAAACATGCACTCTTTAACACAAGACTCTCCAATGGTCTTGTTTTGGTCCTTCTACCCAAAAGATACCATTTCTGTGACCCAGTCCATACGCACGAAATCACACCCAGCCCCTAATAAAGCCAGCAAATCTGTCCTCATCCTACAAACCATGCTTGTATACGAGTTGAAATGGCAGCCTTGCTGATATGAACCCGGGTTTGAGAAAGGGAAGGAGTGATGTTTTATTGAGGGCTGTACCACAACAACAAAACAATCATAAAAAGGCTCTCATTTTGTACTTCTAACACGCAACCCAGGCCATAAACTGAAAGAGGCCATTAGGAAAATGAGTCCATCATTAAAAGCAGAGCTGGTAAACATGTAAATGCGTTCAGCACGCAGAGCACATCACTGGAGGTTTCAGTGCAATCCTCATTTCTTTACCTAGTGGCAGAAGCAAGGACCTGGTGTGGTGTGATAGAAAGAGGGCCATATCCTTTGTGGTGTACCACATTCAATTAATATGTCAGGCTTTCTATGTCTATCATTGCTCACAGGGGCTGGAACAATTGTTCTGCTTCCCCATTCCCTTTCTTTTTTCCCAATTTTCACAAAGTACCACGCTAAAAAAAAAGTAATGGATTTCCTTCTCAGAGAACTGCACGGGCTGATAAAGTGAAATCCATGGCAGAATGCAAGTCACTTTTCCCTTTACCTCATAATTTCAGTTAAGGGCGAAAGTGCAATAAATTTTGGCGGGAAAAAAAGAAGCGATGGTTTGGGACATTTCTAATGGCCAGTCTGTGTAAACACTGTTGAGAAACATGGCTGAGAACAATCCGCCCTGGGGATGATTATTTTTCTTGCTCTGAGACCCGAGCATTGCTCTTGTTGTCCCCAGAATTTTGAAATTGTCTGAAGTTCATTTGAGCAAAGACAGGAACAGAAAAGGAACGTTGCAGCTTTCCATGTTAAAACGCAATATTCTTTCACAATGATGAGGCATTTGCTTTATAACCCAACCAAAGAGCTCTTGCCCAAGCTCTTCCTGCACTGAACAGCTGCAGTTTCACCTCGCTTGTGCTGGATACCTACCAGGATCTGTAACTTAAAGTATCTAATATAATGGGGACCTTGTCCATGAAGGAGTACAAATTACTGCACTGTTAACAATAAGAGTGCAAGCAGTACTGAAAAAGATAATAATGCCTATAGTGAAGCACTGAGGTAATCCACTGGCTGGATTAACCAGCCTTAGCAAACCTAAACAGGAAAGAATCAGCCCTTGGTCCCCATGCAGTTGCTCCCCTGCACTTTAAGGGGCTCCTACCTTCAAGATGGCCTCAACTGTCCCCAGCCCATCCCATGGGCTGGCTGTATTCTGGCATGTTGCAAGCACTGCCCCACGAGGCTTGCTATTTTTTCTTTTATCAGAAGGACAGAATTTCCTCAAGAAGTCTTCCTGTACTACAGATTAAACAGCAAACAGTTGGGTGACTTAAAAAAAAAAAACAACAAAACAAAACAAAACAAAACCACCACCACCACCACCAACAACAAAAAAGCTGTCAAAATGCAGGAAGATCCTTCTTGCTATTCTAACAGTATTGCTTTCTTTGCTTGGAAGCAGAGCTGGCAAAACATTAGCACGGTGAGTGCTGGGAGCAGACAGCTGCCTCCTGCCAAGCCTCCGGCATCTCCCCTTGCAGGCTGGGTGATGCTGCAAGCCAGGATGCTGTGAGCCTGCCTGACTCACACAGCTCACTGCATTCAGCTCCCCGCTGGCGCCAGGAAAGAGAGACGCAGAAAAACTTTCATCACAGGAGGGGGACAAAAAAGAAGAAAAGAAAGCAAAGAGAGATGGTGGGCGCTTTGGCACCTTGCCCTCATCCCACGGCAGTTGTTGGGAGCAGCTCAGGGTTCACAGAGTTGCTGTGACACAGCAGCAGGGGCGAGCCTTCCGCATTCCCAACTCGCATATTAATAGGAATAACGCGTGACTCACGCTGACAACAGCAGCAAGGCCGGGAAGCTGTAGTCTGCAGTTATAAAGAGCTACACAGCGCTGCTGTATCTTGGCGTGCTGGCCAAGTCTGATGAGCCGTCTGCACGCTGTCATCCGGCAGGCACGGCACTGCAGAAGGGGCTCGGATACTCAGAGGGTGTGCATGGAAGGGGAAAAGTTCAGCTGCATCATGTGCTATTTGGGAAGGCAGTTACAAGAAAGTGAACAAGTTTCTCGTGCCAGTCCCGGGCTCACTCGAATGAATAACCCATGAGTGAGCAAGCCTCTGAATACGCTCAGTCACAGTGAAACAAGTCAGATTGCCGGGGGTTGCACTCCAATCCCCTCCCCAGCCCGTACAGGACTACTTCATTTCTCTAGGATTGGTTGCAGCCAATAATTCACAGTCATCAGAGACCTGCGTGGCATCAACAGAAACCCTGAATTTACCCTCATTGCTTCTCCGGAGCCATGTGAGTTGCAGCCAACTTTAAGCAGGTTTCTGAGCTTTCCCGGCTTCTCCCCAGTGAGTGTGCCTTCACCCAGGCTGACAGCACAGTGTAAGTGAGCCAGCATCACGCTCTGCTGGCTGCCGGCACGAGCCTGCTGCTTGCTCGCGGGGGTGCAGCCTGTAATGGGTGTCGTATGCAGCTGGCTGTCATTTTTCACGGCAGTAGCTCAAAAAGTCATAATTCTGCCAAAAGGAATCAAAAGGGGCTTGTGCTACTGCTATTGTATCTGCTTTAATTCATTTGAGCTCCTCGAACAGACTTTGATTTATGAAGAGAAAATTCACAAGCATGCGATGCCTGTTTGAACAGCTTAAATGAGCCCGTGTTATAATCTCCTTAATGGATGGTAAGTAATAAGGTGGTATTCCTACAAGTTCATATACTAGCTTGGACGAGAACGCCTTGAAGAAAATTGAAGTAGGAGAAAGCATGTACTACAAGAAAGTCCTCCAATTCTCTCCAGACATGCATTTGCTTATGTATGGGATAGTGAAAAGAATATTTAGAAAGTATGAATGGCACTTACCTCTCAAGAAGTGCTGGTAAGAAGGAAGTGAATCAAATACGCTGTTTGAAGCCATTGTTTCCTCTTTAAAACTCACTTTCTCTTTACAGTGAAGGAATATATGATTTCTTCTACCTTGGGAAGTGAAAAAGTAAAAAGAACGGTCATTGTTACCACCCTCTGCCCAGCCATCACTCTGCTTTATCCCAGTGCCTCTTGAGTAACCCAAAGCAAATAATAAGGTTCTTTTTCTAAAAGAACTCCGAAATTGTTTCTTAAAAAGAAAAAAAAAAATAGCGGATCGGTTGTGGTTGATGATGCTTACCACTCTACGAAACTGTGGTTTGCAGTCAAAGCGATTTGCCCTGCCTGCTGACCAATATCCCGGACCCGCTCTTGTGTGACTGCCTCTGTACCCAACTTGTGGTTCTGTGGTTGTTTATGAGGCCCAAAGAAGTGTTTCACACAACCAAAATTACAAATTTAACTGTTCCCCTTTCCATAACCTGCCTCCATTGGTCCCTTTGAGTCATGTGACCTGAGTGATGTCAACTTTCTTTCTTTCTTTTTTTTTTTTTTTTTTTTTTTAACTTTCTGAAGTCATGCCCTACCCACTCCACCTGCCCTCCCCGGGGCTGAGCGAGGCAGCCATGGAGGTTGCTGAGGGAGGGAAAAGAGAAATGACTCACCGGCCCGTGTGCAGCAGGCGGGCGTGCTGAGCTGGTGCAATGCTGCTTATTTTGTTGTTTGTGGTTTTTGGAACTACTGATTATTTTGATAGGGATTTCATTGCTGCTTATTCAATAGTAATTCAAAGCTGGGTATTAATTGGCTGCTGGGACAGGATGTGTAAATCATCCTGTATAACGTTAGGAATCAACTGTAGGGAAGACCACTGGCTGGGGAAAGTACACTGCAGAGAGGTGTGAGAGAGAGAGTAGGGAAAAAAAGAGAGAGGAAGGATGGAAGGAAGGAACGAACGAAGGAAGGAAGAGAGAGAGAGAGAGAGAGGGAGAGTGAGAGAAAGAAAGGAAAGAAAGGAAAAAAAGGACGGAAGGAAGGAAGGAAGGAAGGAAGGAAGGAAGGAAGGAAGGAAGGAAGGAAGGAAGAAAAGAAAAGAAAAGAAAAGAAAAGAAAAGAAAAGAAAAGAAAAGAAAAGAAAAGAAAAGAAAAGAAAAGAAAAGAAAAGAAAAGAAAAGAAGAGAAAAGAAGAGAAAAGAAAAGAAAAGAAAAGAAAAGAAAAGAAAAGAAAAGAAAAGAAAAGAAAAGAATAGATGAAGGAAGGAAGAGTAAAGAGGAGATCAGAGGAAAGGAGAGGAGAGAAAAAAAAGCTGTTGAGAAAGATAAAAAAGCATCATTTTGAACCTCTGTGATGGTAATTTCTGAGGGAGTGCCTGAAGGACAGAAGTATCCATGAGCTCACAAGACAGCTCTGTAGATTTCCCATAAGTTCAAGTCCAGCAGTCCCTATTCAGCACAATGCCTACTCTTGTCAGAGAGATCCCTGCCCAAGAGAAAAGCTGAGTAAAGTGCTCAGGATGTAGCTCAGCAATACTACAGTAATAGCAAAAATACTGGTAGGTGGAGCACTGCAGTAATGCACAGTGCATAATCCATGCAGGTTGCTCCTGGGGTGCTGTATGCCATGGGTCCCATATTTGGGACCACCGAGCCCTTGCCAAAATTAGGCACTTCATGCATTGCTTCCACTTATTGCAACTTTGGAAGGTGAATTCCTGACTTGCATTTCTAGTGCAAGTGCAGTCTACACCCTGGCTTCCTCTAGAGTGAGTGGGGGAGCTGTGTGTAAAAGGGAGACAAGTTTTCCACAGAAGATGTCAATTTGCTGAAGCTGCAGAAGGAGCAGTTCTGGGCAGCTAGGACAGGAAGACTGGGACACTTTGCTTGGATGCTGTGAGCCCAGCTTACACTCCTGCTATGCCTCAACTTATGCAAGCTTTGGCTTTTTTTCTGACTATCCTTCCCAGAGTCTCCCAAGACATGACCAGTTTTTGGTCTGGGATAAACCTCACTTCGTGGCAACATAAGTAACTCAGAGATCACCAGGCAAAGGCAAAACCTTTCCCCATCCGGACAGCGAGAGCTGGGCCCAGGACCTGTGCCCACTGGAGTTCTGGATCTGCTGCCTATGAGAACTGGGGGTACATTGCCTGACAGGCAGTGCCGGCAGAGGGAGCCCCGGCAGGAAGATTCCAGTTTTTAAATCACTTTTTTTTTCCTCATCTTTTAATGCTCAAGGGGCAGGAAGGCTGCCAGAGCGGAGGCGGATGCCCAGGCAGGCAGAGCATGTGAGGCAGCCATCCGCTTTGCTGTGGGCAGAGCGCAGAGTGCCAGTGAATGTCAGCAATGCTTGTGCTTCACCCGGGTCATCTGCCTAGAAGGCCAGGGCATTGCTATGCTATGTGAGAAGCAACAGTTGGGCTGCTTTTGTCATCTCGTAGCTAAGGCAGATGATGCAAGGGAAAAGCCTGACTGTTGCAACATGCAATCTGCCACTCCGGTCTCTGCTCTGCCAACAGTCAGCTTCAAATAGCATGCAGGAATACACTTTATTAGGATTTGACACCTCAAGTTTTCAAGGAACAGTCTGAGCTATGTGGGTCTGTGCTACACCCAAAGGAGTGGATGGACAGAACTTCTCACTGCCACTGCTACACATGCCAGAGAAACTGAGAGACCCCTAACATGGCAGGGGTTGCTGGTGATGCTGACTGCACCACAGTGCCATTTTCTGTTGGGTCCACATCAGCTGTTCCTGCAGCCCTACAATTAATCTATGTCAAAACTTACTGCTATGCATAGCTGGCATTTCTCTGATGAAAGGAATAAAGTGGACCATTTCACAATTCATGCTCCAAGGAGTGCGTCCAAAGGTTGCCACGTGAGCTGTGCCATCATTAATGCCAGCCTCTCTCTCTTTTATTTTTTTAAAGCTGTCCTGTAGTTAGTGTAAACTTCTGGAAAACTCGTGTCACTGGTACTTAGACATTCTTTGCTTTCTAATGAATAAGATGCAAGATAACAGTGAACCTTCAGGAAGTAATATCACTCTCAGATCTAGAAGCTGACACATCATGTAATAAATTAACAAGCAGCTACCGGATGATGGAGAGATCAAAGTGTTGTGCCAGTAGGCCTCTTTAAAAAAAAAAAAAAAATGTTGTAGAGGAGTCAGACATTCAGGGATACTAAGAAATCTGTTTCCCACATTGGTACTGCAGAGTATGGCCCCTTGGCTGGATAATAACCTTGAGAAAGCAGACCTTGACACCAAACATTTATGTACGCTAGAGTCTTACTCTCAGTCAACAGAACTCATTTGGAATCTCATAAAGTTGCTAACTTCTGGAAAATGACAACAACAACAAAGCAAGCAAGCAACCAACCAACCAAGAAGCAAAAAACAAAAAACAAAAAACCACACAACAGAAAAAAAACCTATGAAGTAGGGTTCTTTTTGTTGTTGTTTTTTGTTTTTTGTTTTTTTTTGTAAGAGCAAATACTTGTGGTTTCACTGGTAGGAATGAAAACATTCACTTAGGGGAGGTTCCAAGAGCCTACATTTATCAGACTCCATAGCCGACCCCAGCAAGGTGTGCCCCAGAGGCCAACATTCTGCAGGCTGCAGAGTCCCACAAGCTACTGAGAAGTCTAAAACTGAATCATGCAAAGATTATTTCAGCTGCTGCAAATATTTCAGAGCCCAATGGTTTACCCCGAACTCCAGTGGCAGCCTCTAACAAACCTCCAGCATGTCCAAAAGAAACGCAACCCAGGTTAGAAACCTTGAGCCTGAACTACATGCTGAGTGGATGCTGAGAGGCTGAGAACAGCATGGAGCAGGCTCAAGGTAGCATATTGTTTGTCACTGAGCAGCACATTGATGTAGTGAGCTGGTACTGCCATTATCAGGGAGCCTCCCCAAACCTTGTGAATAAAGTAACATCTATGCTGATAATATTTAAATGTGGAAGAGAACAGGGATGTTGTTGCAGAGTAGCTGTGTCTGTCTGTGAAATGAGGCTGTCAGTCAACATAGCAAAGGGGAGCCTGGAAACATTTTTAAAAACCCAAGTGTTTTACTCCACCAGTTTATAAAAATGCTTTAGTCTTTCATTTCAAAAGTGACCCAGATTAAATAGCTCAGCTGAAAAAAAAAGGACTGACCTAAATGAACTGTTTCCTTCTGGCCTTCCTGTTTTGCAGCTATACCGAAAATGCTACATCAGAGCTGCTGCAGAGTGTTCTATTACAGAATTCTGGTATGCAGAACCTCACCACTATCACTCTACCACTTCTAGTCCTTTTTCTCCTTGGATGCAGGAGTTACTTTATTCCTTTTTTCCAGTAATTTATTGTCAGTAACAGAGTTTGGAGGACTTTTCACCAGTCTTTTACTGGTGGTATGAGTTAAATGCATGTGGGCAGTGGAGGAAAAGACAGAAAAGTATAAAATAAATGAATACTAAGAGTGTTTCAGGAAAGGAGAGGAAAAGGAAATATCCAGATAAGCACCTGAAGTTGCTCACATATAGAAACTTGCATCAAACTCTGAAGCATTTTGAACTTGCAAGTTTATGCTACTCCCTTATGACATATAAAACCACTGGTGATGCCCAATGGTAACCACAAGTTGACTTTTCCCTTTTCCCTTTCTCCCCTATCAGGGAGCAATTCCAGTCAGAATTCAAGCTTGTCCTTTTCCTTGGCATGTGTCAGCACTGCATTTTGTCTCAGTTTCGTCATCAACAAAATCCTTTTTGGATGGAAATAAAATAGAGATCCAACTTGAGCTGGCTCAATATATAGTATCCTGACACTAACCAGTAGTAACAATTGAACTTGTATGGAGTCTGCAATGGGCTGCATTTGTGTTCTCAGTAAAGTCACAAAGCAAGCACAGTGAAACAGGTAATAGACGCTTGTGTTTCATCATGTGAGTTGTTTTACTGGAGTCAATAGGATTACTCATGAGTTGGGGAAAACTTTTAAGGGTTCACCATCTCTTCGGTTTCTTGTTTTTAGGCATTCCAGTAGGAATGAGAAATTAAATGGCTATTTAATAAGAATGAGCTGCTTTAAAAGAGAAGTCACTGAAGTAATTTAGTGATAAAACTACAAATCACTTTTCAGATGTGTGTTCACAGAATAATGCTTGGCATCTGTATTTCTGTATTTTGCTGGGAATCCCAGCAAAAATACCTTATTCCATCTAATTGCTCAGAAAATACTTCAACATTCATGGTTAGGGCTCATTCATTCTAAGAACATCAACGTACTGCTTATGATGGATACAACAGACTTGGAGTTGGTAACAGGTACTCAGAGAGTGCTGCTGTCTTTGTAGCTGTTGCATCCTCTTTTAGTGTGGTGCCATGTATAGAGATAGCTTGAGGTGAGCTAGTTTGTGGCCTGGTACTTTCACCTGCTTACTGCCCTCTGCCAAAATAGTCTGAACTCCTGTCTGATCCAGTATGAAGCCCTGAGGAACCCAGTGCACCCCTCGTAAACAGCAAGATATACAGAGATTTTCCAAAAGCTATACAAATGGTGTCCAATTGCTAAAGGAACCTGGCTAATAAATGCATACTAAATTTATATGCCTTCACTAGAAGTCACTGCTAACAAGCTTTAATTTCCCCTGGATGGCTTGGGTGCCTTAGGGAAGATGCCCAACAAGCAGGATCTGGGAGGATGTTTGGGATGTAGGACATAATACAGAGGAAAGACAACTGGCGTAAAAGAGTGAATGTAAGACTGGGGAGCATTCATTTGCAATAGTAATTGGACAGCATGAAAATAGTTAAAAGAAGAAGGAAGGGGAGGGGAGGAGAATTCAGAAGTGTCATGGAGTTGAGGACACAAACACTGCACTTGATACAGGGAATGGTAAGTCAGAGATGAGTGTAGAGAGGGAAGACTGATCAGGGTAATGAGTGATTCTTGCAGGCATTGCAATGAGAGCAGGCTGACT